TTAATCCACAATAGAAATGGGAAATTAAAACGATTTTTCTCTATATAAAGAATATGGCTCCCCAGGGTGGCTCATCTCTTATTCTTTATTTAAGTATTCATATTTCAAATAAAATTAATAGGACACTCAGTGAGAAATAAGTGTCTTATTTAGATACATTTGCCAAATGAAATGTAAATAAAAGTTTAGGCTGGGCGCGGTGGCTCATGGCTGTAATCCCAGCACTTTGGGAGGCTGAGATGGGGATACTGCTTGAGCCCAGGAGTTTGAGACCAGCCTGAGCAACATGGCGAAACCCCGTCTCTACAAAAAATCAAAAATTAGCCAGGCGTGGTGGCAGGCAGCTGTAAGTCCTAGCTACTTGGGAGGCTGAGACAGAAAGATCACTTGAGCCAGGAGGCAGAAGTTGCAATGAGCCAAGATCATGCCACTGCACTCCTGCCTCAGCAACAGAGAGACACTGTCTCAAATAAATAAATTAAATTAAAAATAAAGTTTATACAAGATTGTATATTCTTTCATTAAAAGTTGAATGACTTTTCCCCAAAATCTTATACATTACATTTTGCTTTTATTTCTTTCTCAACTGCATATTCTTTAGAGACTTGGTATTTCATTCTCCAGAAAGGTAGAAGAAATTATTTTTTCACTATTATATTTAAATTGCTCATTAAAAGTTTTCTGTTTAATTTGAATCATTGCAGTTATAATTAACTTGTGAAAGTTTAAATACATATTTAAATGATTTCTGTCCACAGAATTTTTGATGTCCATGAATAAGTACTAGTATTTTATGACAAAAACTGCTAAATGTCACAATTTAATTTTTTCAGGCCAATAATGCGAAAATGATTATAATTACTGCAATAAACATCTGAAGATTAAGCTACATTTCAACAAGTAAAGCAATTCAAATATTTGAAGAGTAAGACAACACCAAGCACTAACAAATCTCCCTTCTAGATTCAGAATTATAACCAATGATTCTGTCCCCTTATAGTTAAGTTTGTATCTTATGGTTGGAAAGTTAGATTCCCAACTTAACATCCTAGAAGTCTGTTCATTTTCATCAGAAGAACGATTTCAAATAATAAAATCATAGAAAGTAAACAAGCAAATATGAATGTCATCAAAAAGTTGAATTTAGAGTTTTATGACATTAACAAACTTAAGCACTCCAATCAAATGCTTAGACAAGTAATTACGCACAGGTAGGCAATTACGTTTTTCAAGGACAATAGGAATATTTCACTGACTTCTAAATAGAAAGCACTACATGAGAAAATCAGATTACAGAAAATTAACTCAACACACTATTGGTGTGTTATGTGTGTTCCAAGTGTTGCTTTCAAAATATTCCCAGAAAAAATAACAATGTCTCCATCCCTATTTATTCTTAGATGATTGTTTAATAGTGAAGTCAGTTTACATTTGAAGACATTTTGCATAATCCTATTAAAAACCAATTCAAACAATGTGGGTCATGTTTAACTCTTCAGTTATTTATCCATTAATCTCTTTAAGTGCTTCCTTCCTTAACACAGCTGTAGCTCAAGAGGTGGACAGCAGTTGGCCTCCATTTCTGTGGATTTTCATGAATGCCCAGATTTCTCTTTGCAAACTTTTAAAATGTTGTATACCTAAACAACTTTTTCATAACTTAAGAGCTTATAAAACGCTTTCAAAAGGACTCCAAAAGAAACATTTTCTTTTAAAAATAAAAACCAAACAAAAGGAAGCCACACACACTGTAAAGATGTTCTCTGCAAAACATTCTGTTCAGCAGACTTGAAATGTCTCTCAAGGGATCAAGAACTACTTGGTTTGAAAGCAACAATTGAGAACTCCTAACAGGTTGGCTAAAAGCCAACAGTAACAGCCATGAGAACATATTTAAAGTAGATGAGGAGTGGCTAAGATACCAGGCATTGGGCCTTCCCTAGTCTCCCCACTCCATTTATTTGGAATGCCTTCAACTGTACCATTCAACCACAGTTATTCAAAAGCCTCTCTCCTTAGTCCTCTGTTCTTTCTCCTTTCATGCTCTCCATCAAAGACTGCAATCTTACTATGATATTTTTGGAGAAAACTCACAAATCTACATCTCTGTTATATCACCCAAACTAATCCTCTAACAGCTGACTTAAATATTTCCATCAGGGTATGCCGTCATTATCTCATACTTAACACATAAAAAATCAAAAAAACTTACTCATCTTTATCAAACCATTCCCTCTTTCAACTTCCTTGGTTTTGTTAACATCAACCCCATTTGTCTGGTGACCAAGACTTAGAATCACAGAAGGAACCATGAACTCCCTGGTAACCTCCACTACTCACATTCAGTTGGTTCATGTGGCAGATGGCATTTTTCAAAGATGGCTACCACAACATCTCCTATCTACATATACTTCTACAACATGATCTTGCCACTTTGCCATCAAAAGGTGGATTGAATCCAGGCTGACCCTAAGATGCACTTAAAATCAAAGGAATGTGACTAAAGCAATGCAATGAGACTTCCAAGGCTAGGTCAGAAAAGATCACACAGCTTCTGGCTGATTCTCTTGGAATATTCTCTCTGGGGGAAGCATGCTGCCATATAAGAATTTCAACCCCAAGACTGCCATGCTGGGGTGAGAGGCCACATGTAGTCCCAATTAGGCCCAGTCTTCTAGCTAGTCCCACCAAGGTGCCATAAATGTGAGTGAAGCTGTCTTAGGTCCCTTGTGACCAGTTTGTCTGCCAGCTGAATGCCACCAATTGAACTCAGTAAATACCCTAAGGAAGAATCACCCAGCTGAGCCCTGCCCGAATTCTTGAGATACAAAATCATGAATGTAATAAAATGTGTCCACAGCTTTCCTTCTAAGCACTCAATACATCATGTGAGGAGTTGTTACTATCTATGTGTGGCCAAAAGTTAACTAAAACCCCACGTTTGTCTCTACTCCCAGAGCCATCACCCAAGAGGAAGCCCTCATCACCTCAGATCTACTTTGTTATAACTGATTCCAGGCTCTCCTTACTATAATCTGTCATTACAATCTATCTAACCTAACATTTCCAACCAGAAAACTACTTTTGCATGCCAACCCCACAACCAACATCAATCTCATGTTTTACATTTGTAGGAAATTCTATAATGCAAATGGGTCTTCACAAATATCTATTTTATTTGATTCATACAACAAAAGCCAGAGAGATCTGTCAATAGGGCAAATACCCTTTTCCTTAAAGATGAAGAGATCAAAGGTTAGGGAGGTTAATTTTTGTACAATCTCACTGCCAGTAAATGGAATGAATATATACAGAATTAAGAGCCTGAGTCACAGATTTACTGCTATTCCTCCATTCTATAATGCCTCCTATGATCTATTTCAGAGCAAAAATGTTTGATGCTTCTCTCCATCCCTGCTACAGTAAATCTATTTCCAAGACACTCTATAATTTGGCCTCAATCTATCAACTTGCCTGGTTATTTCCTACTAACTCCACCTCTACAGGAAGGTTGGCTTATTTATTCACCTTGCCAATTCTAGGCTCTGAACATTTACTCACAATGTTTCCTTCTTTCAACTTGTGCATTAGCACAAATTCCACCTCCTCCATGAAGCCCTACCAGCCTATCCCCATTGCTTTCTCTCTCTGCTATATGATTTATATATAAATATGATTTATAAATTTCACCCAAAATTGCGCAGTGCTATCTTTTTCAAGTGTGTTGGTCTTACTTCCAGGCTGGTATTCAATCCATACACATCCATACATAGAGAGATGCTGGGTGCTGCATATACCCAGTGTTGGTTCTGACCAGTCAGTGCTCACAACATACCTTTTGTTAAATATTTTGAATTTCATCTCTACTTATTTCTCAAACTAAACCATAAGCTCTTTAATAACAGGAACTTCATCTTATAAAAAACCATAATATCATCCAAACCAAGCACAGTACTAAGCACACTGCTGGTATTCATACATTCTTGTTAACTGATTTGATGGGAGTGGAGTGTGTTTTGAGGAAAAAAAAAAATGTTCATAAGTCATGTCTACACTGGAAACAAAAAGTTGAAAAGATAAAATATTTTCAAGATCAGCAGTTTAATGTCAGGGACTTTTTAAAAAGTATCATTTAAAGACATTCTGTGCAGCTCATAACTGCCAAAATGTTTCATAAATGTTTTTACCAGGCATGTGAAAAAAAAAGTTTCAAAAATATTCAAGGAATAGATGTCTTAACAGTCCAAAATAAAATGTTTGCTGAGGCTACAAGGCTGGCAGAACTCTGCTTCATTTCAAAAAGTTTCCAGGCAATGGAAATGTTTTCCTGGAAAATACTACCTTTTATTTAGAGAACACTTGCCATGAACACTTAGTCATTAAGTAATTTAAGGTTTCCTCACAAGCTCTTTGGAGGAAATATATTACATGAATGAATGAAATTATCTGTAACTATAATGTCAAGAAATACATTTGGTTAAATATATGAACTCTATCTAAATATTAGCTTTCCAGGTAAAAGGAAAAAAAATCTTTTCTACTTTTCAGTCTACTTACTGTTCTTTTAAACTTTTCTATAAGATAAATTTATGAAGAAAAAAAAAAAACAAACTCTCTAAGTGCTTCTCTAATACAAACCCCAAAAATCGCAAGGTCTATTTTATTCCAAACACCAAGTAATTTTCAAACAGACAAAACATTTATTTCGTTCAAAGAAAAAAAAAAAAAACAGTAATTTCAAAGCTATTTTTAGCAAAATCTTTTGAGTTTGCTTCAAATCACCTTTCAATGAGAGAATAATAACTCAGTTTGGACATTTCAATCAATCATCTGCAGTAAATCATACAACGAAACCTAAGAAAACAATTTCTTCCAAGAGTTTTGTAGTCAACCAGGTCTTATTCTTTTAGACATCAAAAGACACAACTAAATTCTACTCCAAGCACATGCTTTGTATATTTAGTCTTTTTAAAACGTACACAAAAGGATATTTGTTTTACCTGTTTAGTACTTCAGTTAGTTTCACAAAACCAGTATAAGCCAGTTCAAATGCTCCTCTGTGCCTGGACTGCAAAAGGTGTTGTTTAAAGTAATCTCCTATTTCTTTTACCTTTAAAAAAAAAAGCAAAAACAAATGTCCAATTTATGTTTATATTTGCAAGTGTATTTATATCAGTAACACTGTCTAGAACCCAGGTCTAGGGGTCCATTCATTTAGCACTCACCATGTGACAGAATGTTTTAAGCATTTTTTTTTTTTTTCGAGATGGATTTTTGCTCTGTTGTACAGGCTGGAGTGCGGTGGCGCAGTCTCAGCTCACTGCAACCTCCACCTCCTGGGTTCAAGCAATTCTCCTGTCTCAGCCTCCCAAGTAGCTGGAATTACAGGCACCTGCCACCACGTCCGGCTACTTTTTGTATTTTTAGTAGAGATGGGTTTCACCATGTTGACCAGGCTGGTCTCTAACTCCTGACCTCAGGTGATCCACCCCTCAGTCTCCCAAAGTACTGGGATCACATGCGTGAGCCACTGTTCCCGGCCGCCACTTTAAGCATTTTTTTTTTTTTTAGTAATAGCTCATCTAATTCTCACAATAATTCCATGAAATAAGTACTATCATTATCTCTACTTCACAGCTGAAAAACTGAGGCCCAGAAAGGCTAAGAAACTTATCCAACGTCATACAGCAAGAAAGCAGTGGAACCAGAACATGAAGCCAGGCAGTCTGGCTCCAGAGGTGACCATCTTTAACTATTACACTAGAACTGCCTTCCTATGTCATCGTCACAAACCTCAGTGTGTTTTGTTATAGCTCACACCATTCAACTCCAATAGAAAAAAATCACACAAAACGACAACACTCACACACACAGGTCTAGGTGAAATAATTACCTTTTTTCCTTCTTTTAAACATTTTTTTCTTTTATATTGTGATAAAATATATATGATAATTATCATTGTAACCCTTTTTTAAGTGTACAATTAAGTGGCATAAGTACATTCACACTTTTGTATGACCATCACCATCATGCATTTACAGAACTCTTCATCTCCCCAAATGGAAACTCCATACCCATTAAAAAATAACCCGTATTACCTTTTAGAGACATAAAATTGTTAATGACAATGCAAGATGTGGTGTAAATGACCTCCTGAAAAATTACTAGGCTTCACTTCAAAACAGAACCATGGAATTTGCCAGAATGTCACCCAGTGGCTTTCCTACATGATGTCTTTCTCCACACAAGATTAGACCAATAATAAATATGACTTTTAATTTTTTTTGAGACAGGGTCTGGTATTGCTTTATCACCCAGGCTGGAGTGCAGTGGCGCAATCATAGCTCACTGTAACCTCACACTCCTAGGCTCAAGGAGTTTGAGGTTACAGTGATCCTCCCACCTCAGCCTCCCGAGCAGCTAGGACTGTTAAAGTGTTATGTCACCATACCTACCTAATTTTTTCATTTTTTGTACAGACAGGGTCTTACTATGTTGCCTAGACTTAAGTACAGTGGCTATTCACAGGTGTGATCACTGTGCACTACAGTCTCCAACTCTTGGGCTCAAGGAGTCCTTCTACATCAGCCTCCCGAGTAGCTGTAACTACAGGCATGCACCACTGTGGCCGGCCAGACTATTTATTTTAAAGAGAACAAAACTGACAATTTGTTGTTGACTAAGGTTTTGAAAAGAATTAACTTTTAAGCCAATTAGGCTTTCATACCATTAGATTTGGTGACTACTGTCTTTTAAAAATTAAGATTTTGTATAAAACTTAGGACCAAAGCTGTAATCAGCTATCTCTTGATCCAGGTCTCCCCAGTAGATCACAGGATGGTAAAAGACAAGTTGTCCCAAGATAGCTCAGATATGCTTACCTAGAAACACCTCCTACCTCAGCATAGGGACTAAATTAGTATTCTGCACACATTAGAGACAATAAACAGTAGAATAAGTAGTTAAACATGTCATCATGGGCAAGTACCTCAGTTTCCTCATCCATAAACTAGGGATAATACCAGCATTTAGGACATAGGTTGTTGTATTAAAATAAGTAATAAATTGAAAAGCTCAGAACAGGTCTATAACCTATAATCCAATTCAGTTCAATATGAGTTCTGACTAGGGTTCTAAATAGAGGAAAACCAAAGACGTAATCCACATCAAAGTACATCTGATTACAAAGACATAATAAGTGATGCACATGGAGAAACAAGAATCAGATAGAAGACTAACAAAGAACCATTATATATAAATAAAGCAGCATATAATACATTTTTTTAAAAAAAATCTAACTCTTTAGTAGCCCAAAGAGTGACAGGTCATGTTCTCCAGTTAGTTTTCCTAAAGATCTGATGATACTCTTCATAGTATCTTTTAAAGACCACATACTACTAGTTGTCAAGAGCCACAGTCAGGTAAGCCTTATTTTATCTTCAATATGGTAATTTCAGAGCATAGTTTGAACAGAATTATCAAAGCTTAAATCCGAATTAAACCCCTAATATAGGACTGAAGCCCAATAATCCTATAAAATGAGTAGCTCATGATAGCCAGCTTAAAAAAATAATACTAATACAAAAAAAGGACTAGAAGAAATACCAGTTAGCTTATTTGTAATGACCATCATTTCAATTACTAGAGAAACAAGAGATTTCTAAGAAGGTACTTAAAGACATAGAAAATAAAAACAGAAAGTCAATGAGATGAGGTTTCTCAAACTTCCTTAATTTTTTTCCCAAAATGCTGCAGATATTAAAACATACTTCAGGAAAACATAAACTTCGTCATTACTGACAAAGTGCTTCTCTGTGGATTTACAACAGTTCATAATCTACTCCTTAGGCAAAGATCAGATTTTCATTGCTTCCTTTATTCAAACTCCCTTCGAAGGGGTCTAAAACGAAAAGCATATAATAAAAATCAAAGACCTCAGAAGTATGACCAGTGGGTGGGCTTCTCAAGGATGGACCTAAACCCTAGGTATTCCTGGCACAGAAAACATAATGACGTTCTAAGGACAAAACTGAGATGTAGGCAGTATTTCCTCGTTTCATTTGGCACTTAATAATTTCTGAATAAACCCACATAGCTAATACCTAGGCTTATTATCTTTTTTCCTTTTGAAGACAATATAAAATTCCTGTTAGACAACGGTCTTTCTTTAGCACCATGTAAAATGCCTCACAGCTTAACACTGTGGTAGACAGAAAAGATGAAAACAAGATGCCTGTCCTCAGCAGGCTTTTAGTTCACTTTCGCAAAGAAAACCAACATGCTGTCTGGTGCCCAGTATGAGTATAAGTTCCAAAAAATGAAAGATCCTTCTCACTGGAATAATGAGAAAAGACTTCACATCCAGAACTTGAACAAGCTATTACAGTACTCAGGTGGACCAAAATGAAAGAGGGTAATTAACATGAGAAGACGCTGGGAGACTAGAATGAATACACCAACATTAAATAAGTGCATGCTAGCTATCTGCCAGATACTTCGCTAGGTCTTTTTATATCAATGAATGAGCACACACAGACAAGGGTAAGTAAACCTGGCTGAATGACCTAGAAGTTTCATGCTAGAAAACAGTAAGGACAAGCCTACAAGGAAGAGATGAACCCAATTACAAATGACTAGTGGGCTTGGCAGTATGGTCTATGAGCTGCTGAACAGAGAAGAAAGGCCAGGCTGACAGCCTCCCAGTGGATAATCAGACTACATGAAACAGGTTTAACTCAAACCACTTACAAAGTTAATAACAATAAAATCAGAAACAATTTCAAAATTTGATTTTTAAAATGAAAATCTCTGAATTTTCATTTTAAAATGAAAACCTCTGAAAACTCCAACTCACTTACCTATTAGATAACACTGAGTTTCTATTTAAAGTTCACAAAATGGATAATGTATGTACAAAATAATTTTTTAGAGGTAACTATTTTTATTGCATTTCTTTCTAGTCTTTTTCTTTTTTTCGACTCACAATTAAAAAAAAAAAAAATTTCTTAGCAAACTTGGAAGAGACAAAAACTTCCTTAACATCATAAAGAATACCTACAAAAACCCAACAGGCAAACATCACAGGCAATAGTACAGGTTTTTTTGTTTTTTTAATCCTCTTTAAAATCAGGACAAGATAAGGATTCCTACTGTCACGACGTCTACTGAATTCTGTTCTGGAGCCCCTAGCCAGCACACTAAAAGAAGAAGAAAAGTGTAAAAAATATGAAAGAGGCTGGGTGCGGTGGCTCACACCTATAATCCCTGCACTTTGGGAGGCTGAGGCTGGCGGACTGCCTGAGTTCAGGAGTTTGAGACCAGCCTGGGCAACACAGTAAAACCCCCGTCTCTACTAAAATACAAAATACTAGCCAGGAGTGGCTGCGTGCGCCTGTAGTCCCAGCTACTCGGGAGGCTGAGGCAGGAGAACTGCTTGAATCCGGGAGGCAGAGGTTGCAGTGAGCCAAGATTGTGCTACTGCACTCCAGCCTGGGCAAAAGAGCGAGACTCCACCTCAAAAAAAAAAAAAAAAAAAGCTGGTTCCATATACACAAATCAATAAACATAATCCATCACATAAACAGAACTAATGACAAAAACCCCATGATTATCTCAATAGATGTAGAAAAGGCCTTCGATAAAATTCAACACCCTTCATGCTAAAAACTCTCAATAAACTAGGTATTGATGGAACATATCTCAAAATAATAAGAGCTATTTATGACAAACCCACAGCCAATATCATACTGAATGGGCAAAAGCTGAAAGCATTCCCTTTGAAAACCGGCACAAGACAAGTATGCCCTCTCTCACCACTCCTATTTAACATAGTATTGGAAGTTCTGGCCAGAGCAATCAGACAAGAGAAAGAAATAAAACCATAAAAACCCTAGACGAAAACCTAGGCAATACCATTCAGGACATAGGCATGGGCAAAGACTTCATGACTAAAACACCAAAAGCAATTGCAACAAAAGCCAAAATTGACAAATAGGATCTAATTAAAGAGCTTCTGCTCAGCAAAAGACACTATCATCAGAGTGAACAGGCAACCTACGAAAGGGGAGAAAATTTTTCCAATCTATCCATCTGACAAAGGTCTAATATCCA